GACAATTTTTTTTTTTTAAGATATAATTGATTTTACTGCTTTGGTCTTTTAATCTTTATACTAGTTTTAAGATTGATTTATTATGTTGGTTTTACTAGTGAATTTTTTTTTTTTAATAATTTTTTACTTACAGCCTTTTCTTTTCCAAAGGGGAGTCTTTGATTTTCTTCTGAGGCTGGATTAGTGGCGATGAGCTCATTTAATTTTGGTGTGGTAAATGCTGTATCTCTTCTTCAACTGTGAATGGTAACTGGGTATAGTATTCTTGGTTATGGGTTTTTTCCTTTCTATACTTTGAATATATCATGCCACTTCCTTCTGGCTTGCACGTTTCTGATGAAAAATCAGCTGAGAGCTTTCCTTTGTAAATAACTAGTGCTTCTCTCTTGATACTTTTAGAATCCTCGATTTATCTTTATTATTATTATGTGTCTTGCTTTGATTCATCTTGTTTGAGGCTCTCTGCTTCTGGGACTTGGATATGTCTGTTTCCGTCCCCAGGTTAGGGAAGTTTTCTGCTCCTTTCTGTCTCTGTTCTCTTTGTGGGACCCCGATACCAGTAATGTTAGTGTATGTGGACATGCTGTTGATTTCCTCTAGTGTATTTTTCATTTCAGTTATTGGTTCTTTTTTGTATTTTTTCTTTCTTTGTTGAGGTTCTGAGTACATGCATTCTTCTCTCAAGTCTGGTGAGCAACTTTATGACCATTACTTTGAACTTTTCATCTGGAAATTCTTACTTTTTCCATAGGGCTCCATAAATTATGTAGCTGGTCCTGGCTCTGACACTAACTATATATGTGTACGCAGGCCATTAGCTTCACACTACCTATTTTTTTCTTATGTGAAGAAGGGATCCCAAAATTACCCTCTTAGTGGGGTAGTGGTAAGGTTCAAAGGAAAACCAGAATTATTTCTGGGGGTCTTTGCAGCAGTGGGTATAGAAAGCAGTCCATATACTTATGCATCTCCTATGGAGTATCTCAGGATCAAATTAAAAGATTACTGGTGATACTCAAAGAGTTCTTGCTTATTTGGGCTATAGCCCCTCTATTTATCGTATGAAAAATTAGAACTGAGAAAATGTCAAAACACAAGGCCATGCAAGCACCTGTTACAGAAGCTGTCAGAGTGCGAATGAACAAAGCAAATGGTATCTTTGTATTATTATGAAAATGGTTTTGACTTTTTGAATTCCCCAGAAGGGCCTCCTTCCCAACCAGCAGCCCTTGGATCATTCTTTGAGAATTATTAATCAAATTAGCCTTCTATGGTATCTAATAGGACGATAGAGCTATATGCAGAGTGAATAACTATTTGCACAAGAAACTGTTTTTCTGTGAATGAATGTCTCTAATCTTATGTTCTAATCCTCTTCTGTCGGAAGGAACATAGGGTCTGCTTAAAAACTTTGACAGTAATGCTACAGATCAGCCTCTGAATCTTGAATACAGGATGCTGTGAATAAAGCAGTTTGCCTTTATAAGCGGTGCTTGTGTTCAGATACAATCAGTTTACTTTTGGGCGAGGAATTTTATCCTTAGATCATTTTTCTAGGAACTTCGTCCACCTCACAACACAGCTGACAGCCCTGAGAGTAGGTGTTAAGAGATCTCTGGGAAGACCAGGTAAATATCTAGTTTGTGCATTCAAAGTTCAACTCTTTGACTTAAGTGCAAACACTTGGGCCTCCAAGCCTGCTCACTGAAACATTTTTAAGCAGGTAAGATGATGATAAAACAAAACGCAAAGCACAAGGCTCTCTGGGAAAGGTTCACACTAAGGATATTGTATGTATGTATCCTTCATTTGTAGGTCATCATAATCTGAAGCACGGAACCTGCTATGTGCCAGGCATTAAGCTTCACTCTGTAGAGACTGGGACAAATAAGTTATCACTGCCAGTGTCAGCAGTGTAGGGGGGTGACAGTCCTGTGAACAAGTGGGTGCAACATGATGTGATACACAAGAACAGCACAGCTAAGAATGTGATGTCTGTCAGTGATTTTAAATGATTACCTCTAGGGGAGCCCGGGTGGCTTGGTCAGTTCAGCGTCTGAGTCTTGATTTCGGCTCGGGTCAGGATCTCCCTGTTCCCGAGATTGAGCCTGGCATCGGGCTCTGTGCTGACATGAGCCTGCTTGGGATTCTCTCTCTCCCTGCACTCCCAACACCCCCCCCCCCCCGCGGCCGTCTCTCAAAATAAATATTTTTAAAAGATAAATGATGACCACTGGGATGAGTCACCAGTAGTTTCAAGGAGAATGACTTCTGAAGTGTCTGTTGACTGACAGAGCACTCAAAGGAAGTAGCATTTGCAGGGGCAAGGTGGTCTACAGGAAGGAATGGACTGAGGACTAGGATGACAGCTGCATGAGTAAACTTTGGCCGGACTGCAAAGGAATTTGGAAAGTGTACTGAAAGAATGGGTGACATCAGTAAGACTCGTGGCCAGTTGGATGTGGAGGTGAAGGGACACACAAAAAGGGCTCTGCTTTGCACAACTCAGTGGCTGGAGGCAGGCTGCGAGGATGAGTTTGGTCTTAGACATGCTAAATTAGAGGTGTGTGTCAGCCACCAGGAAGGGATACTAAGAGGCACAAAAAGTAGGTAAGATGGAAACTGAAAGGTAACTGGTGTTCACAAGATTGTATTACTGCTAGCAGGTGTTTAAATAGTTCAAATTTGCTTGAGTAATGTGGAAAAGTAATTTCTCTGGAATCCCTTATCTCCTAAAGAGTGGATACAGGAACACATGTCTTGAGGAGGTTTTTAATCGAGCTCACCTACATGGTATGTGCTGATCTAGTTCAGAATTAATTTACTCTTTTCTTGTGTGGGCCTGCGAACTACATTTGATTAATTTCAGAGGTGACATATTCAGCATGAGGCATAAAATAAAAATCACTGAGTAAGACAATCTATCCCCAAACTGAATCTAGACAAAAGAATCAAACAGTTCTTTTTAAATGACGTACCAAGTTCCTGTTTTTTCTCTTTCCCTCATCCCTTACCCATGAAATGTAAGTTTAGTTCCATTACCAACTTGAATACAAAATAACAGCAAAATCACAGACCTGGGCAGCAACATTAGAATTCAGGCTGAATTCATAGCAGCTGGCAGACCCCAAAGGTATTTGAAAAGCCAATACAGATTAGTGGGGAAAAAAATCTCTAGAAGCAGCCTTCATTTTATAACTGCATACCCTAAATTTTCATAGACCTGTAACGGCTGCCCAGTTACTTTGAAACCGTCATTATTTCCTAAAACAAACTCCAGAAAACTCTTTGGAAGCAGCCATTAATATGGCTTTCTTCAAATAAGAGAAAACCATGATTTGAGGTACAGGTGTTGACCTAAACTGGAAGTCTGTGGTCACTTCATGTTGCAGAAAAAATTGAAAGACTTAACCATAAGCTTTACTTTCAAATTGATTAGTATCTATGCTTCCAGAGTGGCTGCTGATTTAATGAATGTAACGGATGCACTGAGAATTTGCTGATGAAAGGAGCTACCTTGGAAATAAAACAGAAATGAAGATATCTAATTGGTGCCACATTAGCTAAAGGTCTGTGAGATTCTGAACAATCTGGAATTACACAAGTGATTTACAGGTCAATGCCAGTCATTACGTTTGACCCCAGATATTCATATACCATAAAGTTTACCTATGATCCTTTCTACTTTAGTAAGAAGGAAAGTATCTAGGTTTGAATACCATGTCCAAACAGACTGCAAACTCTAAATTTATCATTAATAAGTAACTTTCTCACTCCTAATCAATGAAACCATATTTAAAAATTTTTCTTCTAGGGGCACCTGGGTGGCTCAGCTGGTTGAGTGTCGGGCTCTGGGCTGACAGTGTGGAGCCTGCTTGGGATTCTCTGCCCTGCCCCCAACTTGGGTGTGCGTGCTCTCTCAAAATAAACAAACAAACATCCTTCTAAAAAAAATTAAAAGTCTTCTTTCCTAATAATTTTTACTGAAATTCAGTGTAGGGTATAAAAATAATTGTTTAAATAATGGAAATAATAATTTAAAATTGTTTTTGAAACATAAAATCTCAGAAAGCTTTCAAGTGTACTTTTGTAGGCCGGTATAGTGCTTTCACCTTTCTAGAACATACACTCCAGGAGTACCTGAAGCCTTGGAAGGGTGGGACACATTAAAACTCAAACAGATCTACAACCTGCCCCTGTAGACACTGGAAAAAACTCAGAATGGTCACAAGCAGATAGAGTCTGTCTTTGCCTTTCTACTCCTATAGCAATTCCACAAGAAACATGTTTGAATTTTAAAATTAAGAAATAGATACATACTCATCATGAACAATGGTGGGGCCGTCCCTTGTTAAGGCCTCTTCCTTGATGACATTGATAAGTTCGAAAGTACTGCTGATGGGGGCATCTGGGTTAGGCCATTTGGGACACTGGAAGTGCCGAACTTCTAGGACATAGTCATCCTGTAACCAATACAACAGAAGTCACAGCCCAGCCCATTAGATCTGTAATCTAATGACTAGAACTTGTTCCTGAGATAGCATAGAATTGAAGAATGCCCCATTAACCAAAATGGGGCTGGTAAGAAGAAAAAATAGTAGGGAGGCCTGCCTGCCATTAAAAAATGACCAGGTCATGTTAGTGAAACAGTAAAATTCTGTTTCATTCAGGTGACAAAATTGCAAGTGCCAATAAATTATGAGACTTTGTATCCTACTCTATCTTATCTATAAATTGAAAGGAAAAAAATGAGAGGTTAAATCATCATTTAAGTTATAATAACTTATCCTCCTCGTCCTTTCATATCCACCCCATAAGAAGGCAGTTGTTATACATCAAAATGTCGTTTACTAAAAAAAAAAACAAACAAACCAAAAAAAAAATCTTATCATCTGCAACACATTGCAATGTTTACATTTCTGGTGGCAAAGAAAATACTGAGCTCTAGTATATTGTTTTTATAATTAGGTCAACAGACCTATTTGTATGCATGCTCAATCAGAGGAACGGTTACATTTCATCTACCCAGCTGGAAAAAGCAAATATTTGAAGGAAGGAAAAAGGGAAGTGTACGTATTTATAATGAAGTCATACTCAAATGCCTGGGCCCGACTTGAGGTGGTAAGTTACTCTGTTATTACTTGGATGATGCAGGGCCCAGGTAGGGCTGTGACTGAGAAAGGCAGCTTTAGGTTACCTGTGTGGCTTCAAGGATAAAGTCATGGATGATAATTTGCTCTTCATTTGAGAGGCACAGTCTGTCTTTGCTGATAAGGGTGACGGTAAAGGCCTCACAGTTCATGGATTCTTCTCGACTTGGCCAGTATACAAACTCATCTTCTGCCTGTGGGAACCGCCCCCAAAGAAAAAATTCCTCTGCAGTGCTGTCAAACATTTGTTTTTGAATTTTCTTGCAAATTGATGTATCCTGTCTGTCATTTCCCATACCTCCCGAGTCACCTTTTAACTTGGGCACATAGAATTATATCCCCCTCTAATCATCCCAAGTTCAGTGGTCACTGTAAATTGTAATTGATAATAACCGTATTCTAGACTTGCCTCCCTACATCACTGTAACAACCAAAAATGCTCCCCCTAGAGGGGACATATCAAAATTAATCGACTTGGATCCTGTCTTGTTTACTATGATGTATTACAGAATATCTCTCAACTGGGGCTAATATATTATTTCACAATTGCTTAAGCAACGAAGACATCCTAGTTGTTACTTCCTGTGGCTTAACATTTCTACAGTTGATTAGCATTTTGCATAGGGATTTCATAAACGTGGTCTTAATTTTTACAATATACGAGGGAGGTGAGGGATTTTTATCATCTGTCTTTACAGACGAGGACATCAAGACTCAGAGAAGCCTGTAAATTGTCTCAAATCACACTTGCTACTAAATGGTAAGCAACAGAACCTGTCTGGAAAGAGGCTGTGCATAAATAAGCTTATGTTGGTTCTAAGTACAAAGTGCCTTTTCAGAGAAAAGTTAATCTAACCATGTTAGGTGTCAAAAGGAGATTAACACAGAAAAAGGCTTTCAGCCTTGAGTCAGGCAAGCTTTAAATGTTCATCTATTTTAGCATTAAAAATAAATATTCAGGCTCTTTACTTGAATTCCATCCCTGAAAACTGCAGAGGCCGAAGAAAAAGTGAAGAGATGTACAGGTGGGAGTCTTTGTGAGAAATACAACGATTAGGGTAAGACCCCTGACCCCCCCATCCCTCTTTTTCTCATCAGTCCAAATGGCAAACTCTGCTTTGCCTGGAATAGCTACACTTCCATGGGCATTTGCCTGAAAATGCTTAGATACTACTAGTGAAGTCAGAAATAATTCTGAATAATGTTCAAAACAAAGAAGGTTTTGTTTAATCTTACATTGTTGCATCAGAAATGAGCCAACAGTCCAATAAGACTTATCACCCTTTCAAGTTTCAATATAGCTTATTGCCAAGTACATTTTTATTTTTAAAGCTCAGCATAAGGGGAAACAGATTAGCAATTGGGTTTAGGCTATACAAAAGACAGTCTGTAACTGTCAGGGGTTTTAATACATTTTGTCCAAGGAAATGGAAGTTAAGACCCTTCTAACAGATACTAAAGATGTAAGGTAATAATGGACAAGGCCTATAAATTTAACCAATGCACAGAGATTAAACACGGGATTTAGGATTGAATAAATTAATCTGGGCCTTAATTTCCATATCTGAAAAGTGGGAATAACATTATGTACCTGTAAGAAATTAACTTGAATAGTAAATTATCAAATTGGCCTAATGACTGCCAAGGGGATTTTAATAAGCAAACACACACACACCAAAACATCTGACTACAGAAAGCAAATTAGGGAGAAACTGATCATCTTCAAATGCTATGAAAAATACATGCTACTTCTTAATTCAGTAGGACCTCTGGTCTCATGGTTATTTTGCTTACAAATACATTTGTAGATCAAAGATGCCTAGGCATATCTAGAACAGTGCATTCTGACCTAGGAACCCATGACTTGGGGCTAGTCACAGAATCATGGTCTTGTAAAATTACAGCAGTATGAAATAAAGCAAACAAAGAGAATCTGCAGACATTTTTTAGGAAAAATGTGCACTGACTTTCGACCCCAGAGCTGAGAAGGCAGACATTCAGGATTCTAGCCCGGTCTCTCTCAGCCTGAGGTGACCTGTTCCAGGGCAGTCCTGTGTCCTCACTGTCTGCATAACACGCGTGGACTCTTTTGGTCCAGCCTCCCCATACAAACGAGCCTGTGGGTAGAGGCTTTTGGTGACTGTCCTGTGATAAGTGACAATACCAAAACACTGACTCATCCAACAAATGAACGTTTTAACAACCCTAAATGCCTCCAATTTCCACACGCCAAACAGAATAGACCCCTATTGCCAGCTAATTTGAAAATTTACACTCCAGTTTTGAGTTGAAGATTCTCAATTTTGTTGCCATTCTCTCCTACAGAAGCAGTCGTGGTATTCTGAAACTGGAGCAAAATGCGACAAAGTGAACTTCCTACTGCCTGGGCACGCAGTCAAATGCATGTCGTCAAGACTAGGGGTTCAATCACAGGCTGTTCTTTCTCGATGAAAAAATTCACTGATCTGATACTTGTCGAAGCAGCTCCTCATTGTTTCTTATTTCCGTTTTTGTTTTGTGGGCTTACGTGTCCTCATAACTTCTGAAGACCCAACGAAGTCTGCCATTAAGTTTATTTCGATAAACTTGTTAACCCTTCTTTTATATGGTCTTAGGGACCACAGCAGGAAAGGACTAACTAAATAGAGGAGAAAAGGGCTGTAGCTCAGCCAAGGTCTTTGAAGCACCTTTAAACTGGAACAAAATAGCCTTTCTGTATCTCCTTCCCTGTAATGGATCTGCCTTGCCTAAGGTATGGGGGAAAGATAATGATAATTAGTACTTTAGATACGAATTTTTGGGGGAAGAACTGGGAAAACTTTGCTATGATATTTGTCCCACGCCACATCATAGAAAAGGATTAAAAGGTCACTCCGGTTTAAATCCTGCCTCCAATTATTCATGTATGCCCTTTAGGCAAGTTACTTCCCTCGATTTTCTTCGCTGTTAAATGAGATGATAATAGTATCTATGTCATAAAGTGGTAGAGAGGACTAAACAAGTTAGTACGTGTAAACACAGTTACATAGTTAGATGCTATTTTATTTTTCCCAAGGGACATATAGCAGCTCAGAGGTTAAGATCCTATATTAATGACGTTACTAAAAAAAAAAAAAAAAAAAAAAAAAAAAAAAAAAGGCTTTACAAAACCTTCCATGGCCCTGCCATGTACAGCATTAGAGAATCAAGTAATGGAACCGATGGCGACACTTAACTGTGAGACTACAAAAGGAACTTGCTCCAACTTCAAGAAGCGAAGTCTCAATACCCTCCCTAGCACATACAGACAGTGTAGCCCTGTGCTAAGGTATCAAAATGATTTATGCTTCTGGCCTCACAGGCTCATTAATATATAGCAGATGTGCTTTGCTTACCAAGCTCTGGTTGTCTGGCAGCATGACAATGATCTGTGCATTATGATCCCAAATCATTCGCCAGAAATCTTTCGTAGTATGTGGCAGAGGATGCTGGGTTATAATAAATTCATTGCTCCTATAATAGCCCTTCAGTTAGGAAGACGGAAAATCAGCAGTTACAAACATTTTATTCTGACGCTGGGGTAAGTAAAATATGTTCACGAAATAAGACGGCATTGTTTTGACCACACGAAAACAATTGAAAAAGGCAGTCAGTACATTTGGCTAATTTTTAGCTGTATATGCTAACATGTGTAGATATTTTTCACTCCACATAAATTTCCTCCTAGTTACCCCTGCTGTTTTTACTTAACGGCAATTTCAACATTTATTCAAACGCTAGATGGGTGAAATTAACAATAAAATAAATTCCTTAATGAACACTTCTCTTAAAGTATTTTTGTACCCCCACTGGCTAGGAGTCTTTTGTTAGAGGTCTCCGGATACAGAAAGCTAATTTTGATATTACACATCGAGAAATCATTTGAAAAGTGAAATCAGCCACATAGGTGGTATCTGCTCTTTAGCACCTTTTAGTTTAATTGAATTTATTTATAATTAACTGTTGACTCTCACCATGATATAAGAAGCATTAATGTAATCTGTTCCTTTCATTCCAGGCAATGGTGCAAGACCCACTCGAGCACGCTCGGCTATGGTATGGAAACAAAACAAAAACGCCACGTTTGCCTTATTACACACACACAATGTATAGTGCTTTCTGAGATTCACTCGGTGCATCACCTATTCCCCTGGATCCCCTTTCAGGTTAAAACTTACCTATATTTTTAACTAAGCTCAAGTGTTCTCCGCTAAGGAGAATGTCAATGGAATTTTGCTGCACAGTCCCAGGAGGGCAGAGGCAACGTAGGAACCAAATTTTACTGTGGGAGAGGTTTTCACAGCAGAGCATGAAAAGAACACTCTGTGCAGAGATGACAGGATTTCAGGTAATTTTTAGCCCCGGTTTGATATTCTTTCCATTATACCCACACGTTGTACTTCTGCTGTTTTGCCATAGCCTTATCCGTATCTTTCTCCTGGCAAAGGGCTTAGAAAACAGTGGCCTTTGTCAAGGAAAGATCATCTTTCCAGCGATCAGCCACACCTGTGTCTCAGCACACACATAGCATCCTCTGCCGTGTCCCAAGCTATGGATACAAAGGGCCCCGTCTGCATAGTGCCTTGACCTCAATAGCCAGGATAATGTAATAATGTATTCCGGTTGGACGGATTAGTCAGAGATCCTTAAGCTTTCTCGGAGTATTCATGCCACAGTGATAATGGCTTTCTTCATTTTTTTAGTTAGGATGTGGAAGTCCCACAACTCTGGGCTTTCGAGGTGAACCGAAGCTAGACTTCACGTGGCACCGAGGCAGCCGTTCACTGGCACTGACAGCCGCCCCTGCTAGTCTGATCAATGTGCCTGAATCTTCCTGGCAGAACTCTTCCCCTTGGTAGTAGCTGCCTCTTTACAGAATACATAAAATGCAATGAAAAAATACTAACACATTCCACCAAGTCAAATGGATTTTAAGATCTTACATGGCACGACCGAAGAGTTTCTGTTCTTTTCTTTGTTACACTCTTTCTGAGCACTAAAGCATTCCACATACTTCGCATTACATTGCGTGACCAGCTGAAAGAAAAGTAACGCTTTAGTCTTCATTCAAAGGTGTAACTGTGGACATGTTAACTGACCATAACATGACAATCATTTCATAATATAATGCAGGCATCCAGTCATTCCTTTCTACACCTTAACTGTATACAGTGTTATATAGCATTTGAATGTCAGCAGAGCTGGAAAACAACAAACCAATGAAACAGAAATTACAATTGACAGCATTTGATGATCTGGCGAAAAAGGTCCATCAGTAGTCAGATTACTCAAGAAAAAAAAACATTTTTTCTACCTCAAAGAACGCATTGTTGTGTTTCAGTAGTGCTTACTTCTGTCCATTCCCTTGGTGATGTGCACACCTGTCTCATTTCTACTATCAGGCCACAGGCTTCTGATAACAGGTTCTGTGTGGGTAGTAGATGTTTACTGAGTCAATGTAGACTTTCTGGCTGACAGTGTCACTGATTTTTGGAAGTTCCCCTCTGTAATTTCTCACAGGCACATGAGATTTGGGTGGGCCTACACTAGCAAAGACTGCTATATGGTCCTAAGAGCTAACTGTGTTTCTTGAACCTAACTCACTAGGTTCTCAGTACATTTCTGTTGAACTAAACTAACATTGTTCAAAGGCCATTATAAGTAATTAGCCCAGAAGTTTGGTTATTCTTCCTGTTCTTATATAGCTTGGTTGAACACTTTGTCAATCCCCTTTTTTTTGGAGGGCTGGGGTATATATCTTAATGGAACATATGGGAATGGCCTCCACCAAATGCTTTAGGACTACTGTCAAGGGCCCTGGATGTAGTTTTCAAGTTTCTGATACTTGTTTTTTTTTCTCTTGTTCTTAAGTTCTCAAGTGATTAGTGCTTACGAAAGAACCAATGACTTGGTTTCCAATGGAATGGGAAGATTTCTTTGATGAATTTTTTTAAAGTATGTGGAAACAAATATTGCAGGAATAGAAAAGGTAGGATTTAAGAAATGTTGGCACTTATTTATTTTTATTAAAAAATGTTTTTTTTGATGTTTGTTTATTTTGGAAGAAGAAAGAAACAGAGCATGAGTGGGGGAGGGGCAGAGAGAGAGGGAGACACAGAATCTGAAGCAGGCTCCAGCCTCTGAGATGTCGGCACAGAGCCCGATGTGGGGCTCGAACCCATAAACCACAAGATCATGACCTGAGCCGGAGTGGGAGGCTTAACCACCTGAGCCACCCAAGTGCCCCGTGCACTTAAATTTTTTAAGAATTAATTTAAAATTTTTTTTTTTCAACGTTTATTTACTTTTGGGACAGAGAGAGACAGAGCATGAATGGGGGAGGGGCAGAGAGAGAGAGGGAGACACAGAGTCGGAAACAGGCTCCAGGCTCTGAGCCATCAGCCCAGAGCCTGACGCAGGGTTCGAACTCACGGACCGCGAGATCGTGACCTGGTTGAAGTCGGACGCTTAACCGACTGCGCCACCCAGGCGCCCCAAGAATTAATTTTAAACATTGAAAACGAGCTACTACTGTGTCCTCATTATTAATGACCGCAAATGGTTTTTAGAATAGTTAGGATGATATAAAAGGAGAGCCAGAAATTTGAAATTGTTATGGAATGAAAAATAAGATTAATTTTGCTGGTTACTCTGCTTGACAATCTCAAACGATGGTTTCAGAATCTATGGAAAGTTTTTTTTTTTTTTTACGTTTATTTTTATTTATTTGTAGACAGAGATACAGAGCAAATGGGAAAGGGTTTGCAAAGAAAGAGGGAGACAGAATCCCAAGCATGCTCCACATTGTCAGGGCAGAGCCTGATAGGTGGCTCAAACTCCCCAACTGTGAGATCATGACCTCAGCTGAAATCAAGAGTTGAACACTTAACCAACTGAGCCATCCAGGCACCCCAAATCCATGGAAAGTTTTATCATGAAAACTAAAATTGCACAGATTCACCTCATTCTTTCCATTTTGATACAAAATGAGAAATTACATATAGAATTATGCAAAAAAAGGAATTTAAAAGACTAATGAGAGACATATATAGAAGAATGTGGAAGGACAGTGTTTGAAAGTTAGAATAAAAGACTGAGGTCTTACGATCTTAATTACTTTAAGGTCCTAATAGTCTGGTTTTTCACCTTTTCCTCAGTCAATTCCATATAAACTTTACCTACCTGTAAACTTCACGCCTCTATCCAAGCAAAAGAATAATCCTTTGGGGAAAGCTAACTTCTCGCTAGTATTCCTTAGTAACTTTTTTAGTTTCTGGATTATCTGATAGTCTTTCAGATAGCTTTATTTTGGGGACAGTGTGCCAACAAATAGTCATTCTTAATAAGGGTAAGACAGATTAATTCAAAAAGAATACAGAAGATATTTTTTGGCCTGGAGTGATTGACTCTTGAGTATTAGGTCTTTGTGGCCAAGGGCTGCTCATGTTTACACTCAGATCAAATCCTAAGTTGCTCAGAAGGAAATCTAGCACTGCACTGTCTACTTGGATACCAACAATTCATACACAGGTCAAAACTATTTCCTTCCTATTACATTTGAAGAATACAGAGGATAATCCCTTTTGGTCCATACATTCATGGAAAAAAGACATGACTCCCATATTGAAGATGTTTCTTTACTTCTTGGTTTGTTTGTTTGTTTTTTAACCCAAGAAATTTATTCGGAACACACCTTGAATTGTTTTTCCAGCCGCGTCTTTCCTCCTACTCCTGGTATGAGGATGCTGTTAACATAGCTATGCAGCTGATTTGAAGATACTTCAGTCTCCTTTCCTAGAATGGCTTCCAACAAGGCATCGTGGATGAAAATGTACTGCTCCTGTAAGGGACAGTATATGTCATCACTGAGAAGAGCTGGTAAGGGGTAGCCGCCTCAATCCGTCAGGCAATCGACCTCGGAGCAACTCTTCTAACAGGGACCTCCCTATAAATTCCTCCTGCACTTACCGCTAGGTGGCCTGCTCCATTTCTTACTGGTTTATCCCTTATTACTTATTTTAGGGTCAAGACTGTGTTTTCCATACTAGGCCCAAAACCGTAGGTTCAAGGGAGCATGCAATGGAGAAATGTGTTTAATGATCACCTTTTAGAACCAATCTACTTCTCACGCCAGACTGCATGTTTAGTTCCCCACGGCATCAAACACAGCACTAGATACAGCTGTGTCTGCTTCCTGAGTGCTGGTGTAGTTCCTGGGAAAGCCACACGTGAGCACCACCCAGAAATGGGAAACTGAGCCAATGAGTAGTATCATGGTCAGGACATCTTCCAATACAAACCTGTAAATGCCTTCAAGCCCCACGAGAGGAATTTGCCTCCTTGGAATCATTTAACTTTCAGTTACGGCATGTGCTAGAAATCTCGTGAGAGCACCTGAAGGTGCCCCTTACCTCAGTCTGGACGAGGTAGTTACGCTGTGTCCTGATATGCTTCAGGAATCCAAGGACGTTAACTGTGCTTTTGTCTTTTATCTGTTGCAGCATGCTGTCTATTACAATGTAGGTGCCTGTCCTGCCCACACCAGCGCTAGAAGAAATGAGGACACCCAACTAGGACGGTCATTCGTTTAACAGCAACCTGGAAGAGTTACCATCTAAATATTGAGTGAGCGGGGAAATAACCTTGCCATTTAGCTAACCTAGTAGAGTTGACACAAGTTATTCGTTGTGGACAGCATCCAAAAACTACATTAGGACATTTCCCACCTCAGGAGTCTTGATGGGGAGAAGAGACAGCCTTTATAAAAAGGCTGCATTATGTATTTGCTTTCTCAGCCTCACTTGCAGCTCAAGCAAAGGATGTTCAGTCGGGGATCTGCGAGGGACAGAGAGTGGCCCCTCTCGGCAGAGCTGTCCCCACACCAGAACTGTGTCCGCTGAGGCCCCAGGTAGGGAGTTATGTCCTTGGTGTCTAAGTTCACGCCTGCTCTTCCAACTCCCCGTAATTCTGGAAGCACCCATTATCTTTTCATTCTTTTAATGTTCACTTATTTTTGATGAAGAGAGCACAAGTGGGGGAGGGACACAGAGAGAGGGAGACACAGAACCCGCAGCAGGCTTCAGGCTGGGAACTGTCCGCACAGAGCCCGACCCGGGGCTCAAACCCACAAACCCTGAGATTGTGACCTGAGCTTGAAGGTCAGACACTCAACCGACTGAGCCACCCAGGTGCCCCACCCACTCTCCTTTCATTAAGCCCCCTTTCTGCACACCTCCCTAGTCTGCGCAGTATTAGAAAGTTCCTACCTAAAGGGGTGCCTTTCTTTAGTTACCCAGGTCTAGAATCAGAATGGCACACCTGGAAAATGTGGCCTCTTTTATTCACACTTCCTAATTGTTATCAGAAAAACAACACTAAGGAGGATCAGAGTTCTGATTAACAAGCTGCTTCTGTCAGAACCGCCTCTCCCCGCCCCCGCCGTGGGTTCCCCGTCTCACACAACTCCACTGATACCTGAGCTCTTTGACAGACTTTTGTCCGTTTTAGTGATTCCTCACTGGGTTAAGTGAAAAATGTAGTTTTCACGGGGTTTTAAACAGGAGATGGGTTCCAACATCTGCAAAGGACTTGCTTTGTGAGCGCATGTAATTAACAACAGCTCAGAAGAAATGCTTAGCTGCATGGCATTTTCTAACTCGCAGAATAAGCAGCATCTATTTGAATACCAAAGATAAAAAGTGAAAAAATATTTTCGCTGCTCGGGGTGCCTGGGTGGCTCAGTCAGTTGTTTTGGCTCAGGTCATGGCCTCGTGGTTCATGAGTTCAAGCCGGGCTTCACTCTGGCAGCACAAAGCCTGGTTGGGATTCTGTCTCTCCTTTTCTCTCTGCCCTTCCTCTGGTTGTGCTCTCTTTCTCTCTCAAAATAAGTAAATAAACATTAAAAAAAAAAAAAAAAAGCCTTTTTACTCTCACAATACATTTTATTATTTAGAGGAACCCTACAGAAAAGCCATATACAAAATCTCAAACTCTCTAGTGTAGAAAGCCCTGGACTTGTGTTTAAGGTCAGATTTTTAACCTCAGAAATAGCACATGATCTCTGAACATGTGGAGAATATATAGTGATTTTTATCTAACTGTAACAGGTTGTACTGGTCCCGGGTGACAGAGCAAGACTCCGTTTCTGAAGCAACAAAGCAGGGCCCCAGTAGTCCATGCCCGTGAGGTCCACATTTCCCTACTTTGCCCACTTCCAGTGTCGAATCCCAGGCACAAGAAAGAGAAGGATGTTGGCCCCACCTGCAGTGCACCAACACAGGGCCCATTTCCGGCGTGCGGGCTGCTGAGGATCTCCTCACAAAGGTCAAGACCGGGAGGGCGTACTCAGGAACTCCCATGTCAGGCCACTGTGTGTAGTGATACTGGATCACTACCCTTTCATTTTGACGACCCTTGGGGTTTCCCTTCTGACCCTACGAGAAAGGTGGGGAAAAAAAAGAGGTCTTTAAGCAGGGGGTAGGCATTCTGGTATAAGGAAATAATGTAAGGATCCAGGAAACAGGACCTTCCATTTCATTTGCCTTAACTACTTCCTGAACGAGGTACTTTCCTTTTGGTGGCTGTCTCAGGCCGCAAATGGAGATACCACCTAGCTGGATGGCAAGTATCAGACCTCTCCTGGGGGAGAGTATGGCTTAAGACTGTACCAGGTACGAACACTTGACGCTAGTTTTTTGGATTTAGAACCATCTCAAACACTGTAATTTGCCTACAGGGTCTCCATTTTCTGACTTCCTGCCCCAACTCCAGAAGGCTTTGGTCCTTTGCTTTCATCTGACAGTGGGCCCGGATTCCCATCCTTTCTCCGCTGTCCAGGTTGAACCTTCAGGAACCTAAGTGCTGGTCCTTGCTTTACATTCTTCACCAGCTGTGGGGAAGATCCTAAGTGCCAAATGATGGTCAATCTCCAGAGTCAAAGCAATAATAAATTTATCTGTCACTTTCATAAATGAATTTTTCAGAGTAGTTTTCCTTTAAGTGGCTCAGCTTTTTAAACTACTTTTTGTTTTCATTTTAACTACTTGGATGAAAAATTTCCCCAAATGGGTAACTAGCTGTTATATGTTTTTTTCTTACCACAAATACCTCTGAAAAGTTCACTTTTTTTTGTTTTTTTTTGAATGACTCGGGCTCATTACTCAACACTGGAGCATGTTAGGTGTTCGGCCCTGTACTACCAAGGCCTGATGACTTTCATTTCTGAAATCCTCTGTTAACTCTCATTTTCCTATTTCTTTCTTATTTTTAGTTACTACTTTTTCCTCTTGCACAAGACTCCTAACATTCCCATTTGACTTCCTCCTCCCTCTAAGCTGCTTCCAAAATAAGAATAAGTGGGCGATGCTTAAATACCTGAAGGGTTCCCATGGGCTTTTTACAAATGGGCTTTGTAACAGCTCTATCAGAACACAGATAAATACAATGCTACTTGATTATCATATGCTTCTGCCATTCTGGGAAAAAACTACATGTACAAAGGACTGTTAACCTTGGAGCACAGATAGGTTTCAGAGCCAATGACATTGTATATCAAAGTTTGAATAAAGGTGAATTCTTCTGGGGGCAGGAAGGCTGGAGTTTTAACACCTTCTCAAAGATGTGCAAGACTAAAAACAACAACAACAAAACACCACATTATACCCATTGCTACAAACAACAGCCATTCCTAAGTCTCTGTAGAGCAACTGTACATTTTCTTAATGAACATCTACCTAGAGTTCCTAGTAATGTTGCAGTGGTCTAGGAGTCTTGGTGCAACAGCAGCTTTTGAACAAGAGAGAACTTGAAAGCATTTTCCACAGGGTGTGAATCTCAGGATGTTAACAGTTACACAGACAAGGGTTGTATTAAGGCACTTTAGGAAGCACTGGGCAAAATAAAGTTGAAGAGGTTTCTTCACTAGCACTTTGGTCACTTGCGTGCCCTGTTCATTTCTAACGGAGAATATTTATTACCTAGCATTCATTTTCCATACCTATTAAACAGCAGAATCTGATTTTTGCAAGCATCTTGCAGGGTTAGCATTCCTTGGAGCACACTTTGGGAAATAATGCTTTAAAACTGTCAGAAAATTGCTATTAAAAAGCTCAGTCAACAAGCAGATGCTGCTATAGTTGCTGGTCACCAAAACCGAAGAGGACCTTTTTAAAAAAAACAAAACAAAACAAAAAGCGAAGCCTTCACTGGGAGATTACGGCATTTAATCAGGCCAGTTAAATTCTATTATGTGCTTTGCCAGTATCTTTCACAGCATACATTGATGTCAATCAAAGGAGTTGTGAAAAAACGTTTTTTAGAAATAGTTTTTTAAAGCCAAGTTGGTTATGAGAATTGGCCTTGGTTGTGCCGTTTTTCGTACAAGTTTAAAGAGAGATGCCCTGGCAGCCCACCCGATTCCTTCAGTACCTTCTTCACTTTTGTATTTCTGACTGAAAAACGACGCACAGTGTAGCAGGCGTGTACTTTTGTGCTCTTCAGTGTGACAATAATGTTTCCGTACTCCTCACTATTCTCTGTTGGCCAATACTGATCGCATTTTCGCTGCAAAAAGGAAAAAGTTGTTAACTGCAACTGCAATTGATGCCACGGTTGTACTGTCGATGAAGTGATTTCATAAGTCTTTAAAACCAGTACTCTGGCCATGTAGTTGACCGAGAAAGGAACGTACGGGCCCAATGGCTTATAGGCAGACATACCTCTGAAGTGGTTAATCGTGGGACAAGTGTGGGCAAGATCCTTTGAGAAACGGGTCTAGTATTCGTGACCGTCTTTCAACACACAGTGCACTTTAAAGAGGGCCAAAGAAAGAAACCTGTATTTGGCCAGTAAGAAATAGGGCTGGCTACGTTATAAAGGAGTTTACTTATCGTTTAGGAGTCTGGGCTGCATTCAGAGTTACAAGAGAGTCTTGTAACAATGCAAATCTTCATTTCACAACTTGGGTCACCAAAGGTGAAACGGGGACTCCACAGTCAAAGTGAAGTTGAAGCGACTCTGCCTAATGAACTTGAGGCTTAGCCTTTATTCCAGCCTACATTACCATCATGTAATGTAAGCTCATAATCTAATAACTCAAATATTCATCATCTTAAAAAAAGGTTCTCTCAATGCTAGGGTGTTTCAGCAGTGCTGCTGTCCCCTGCCTGAACTATCGGTAGTTCCCCCACTACACTGGGTTTCCTCCAGCTTCCCTGTGTTCCCTGGGCTTAGAAGGTCCTTCCCTAACTCCTTCTCGTCCCTCACTGTTCACATCTCACCGCAAACAAGAGCTCCTTTACAAAATCTCAGCCCCAGAGGATGTATTCATCCATTCTGCAGCATCCCCATTATAACGTTCTGTTCATTCCTACTGCCACATTTAATTCACTCTTATAAGTGCTGAGCTCTTTCCCACCAGACTACAAGCAAGGTACGGGCAGAGAGGATGCCTTTCATCGCCTTAACTCTTTACACCTGGTCAAGCTCCTAACCCTATGGCAGGTACTCCATAAATAGGTTTTGAATGAAGGTACATGATTTAAGATATTAAGCCAAGAGGCTCTTACTCTTCCTTTTTCCACAAGGTTCGTAATCATGATAATGATTCCAGTGTTTTGTTCCCAAATCATCCTCCAGAAATCTTCAAATGTAGACTTTAAAGGTCCCTGGGTGGCGATATAGGCTTTCGCTTTGTTGTAGCCCTTCAAAGATGACACAGCACAAAGTAAGATGCAAGGGTACCACACACCAGTTAATAATTCAAGTGCCTTCCAGATTGAATAGGCTGTGTTTTAGTAAAAGCTCTGTGCAGTATTAAAACACGTTCAACAGTCTCTGTGGCAACTCTTCAATTATCAGAAGCAGGTTTATAAAAACATTTCTGACTTACATCGACATAGTTTGCATTAATGTAGTCGCTGTGCTTAGAGTCTTTTCCTGGTAAAGGTCTTAACTTCACCCTACTGTGATCATCTATAGAGGACAAAAAAAGAAAAAGAAAAAAAAAAAAGCAAAAACAAAATGTGTAATTCAAAAACCACCAGCATTCTAAAGCAGAGAACAAGGCAAACAGGCAGTGCGGCATCTCCCAGAGTGCCCCCAGAGAACTTTGGCCAGAACAACAAGTAAAACTTCAAAGATACAGCGTTGAAACCCATCTTAAAACACAGGGACATTTCTACCTCATGCTCTGACCTGTGAGTGCCCAAGAAATGCAAACTGGAGTCCTTATTAGTTCGTGTAAAATGATTTCAAGTTGTAACCCTCCAAAATTTCCTTGTCCTGTATTTTAAAACTGAGGCTTTTGACTATCCATTGCCCTCTTTTCCAGTGATACAAATATAAAAAGGCATATTGTTCTATTAGGTCCAGAACACCAAATATCTATTTTCAGGAGATTCCTCTGCTAAATTCAGAGTCCCTGTCACCCCAACAGAACCTAAGTAACCGAGGGAACCCAGAGCTATTCCTAAAAGTAATCTCATTGCAGCAATCTGGCCAGCAATCAGATTTTAGGAACCACTTAACTTCAGCTTCTGAACACAAAACAGGGGAATGGATTATATGCCTCTTGTTACCTAGCAAAATATAGCTTGAATTTTTAGGACAGCCAATGAAATGAAGCGAAGGTCATAATTTTATCTTCCCTAGCTAGGAACAGAATGGGCAAAAGTTAAGTTTACATTTCTGGTTATAGTCCTAATCATAAAAGGCTATTCCAAAAACAAGTCCAATGAGTGGTTTAGTTAGCCTAGACATTAATGACCTCAAGACTATATATCAAGCACTTTTTGAAAGCACTCTCCATCCTTGGAACTGTGAATTGTTTCAGTTGTTCTGACAGGAGGCTGCGAGTACATTTGATAGGCACGGGGGCTGCCTGATAGAAACAGGCTCCAAATGAAAATTTTCCCCCAAGTTATCTGGACACCTACGGCTATGTCCTAGCTCGGTACCACTATATTGTATATTTTTCAGACTGACAAGAACACGTATTCCAAGTTGCAAAATTCATATTTAATCTGAAAGGCAACAGCCTTGGGAAAATAGAGGAGTATAGGAGGGGGTATGGTAGCATCCATATATACCTAAGAGTTGTAACGGCTCTGTGAGAGAAGCCTTTTCCTACTTTGTGTTTCTGGCTCATTAAGTTTAGTTGTTTCATGACATTTCTGTCCCATTTTTTGCCACGCTAAATTAGCCCTTAATATAGGGGTAGACCAAGATGATGGGTATTTATGTGCCCAGAATCTGACAAAATGTCATGAACATCAGAACCCAACTTTCTGAACCTACGGAAATAAAACTGTATCTAATGTGAATTTGTGAAAGCGAAACCACAAATGAACTGGTCAAAGTACAACCACATCGAAGCACAGGTGGTAAACTTTCCAGGAAATAGCATGACCCTTGGGCATACCACCCAGAAGCTGCTGTGATTTCCTCCCTCTTTTCTGCCACATACTTGTAGCCAAGAACTGAGGTCACCAGAAGTAAGGACTGTCAAGGTGGAGAGAATGATATGTGTGGACGTACTCAAGACACACATGTGTCTATATCCCTGCCTGACTTTCATGGTTAGAAATAAGGTATATTGATTGACAAATCCTTATAATCTCAGCAAAATGAGCCTTTACTGGGTTGGCCAACAAATACTGTCAAGAGTCCATACATTCAAAGAAGGGAGAGAAAAGCACAGTTTGATTCTTCTTCCTTGTTGTCCTGTTTACCTCATTCTCTCACATAAGTGAAACCAGTACTCTGATTCAAAAATGACTTGTGGTTCTTTAAAAACTTTATCTAGAGTTAGAAGTGAAACTGTAATAGCAAATGATAAGATCTTGTATATAAAAATTCTAAGGAGTCCACAAAGGAGAACTATTAGGATAAATGAATTCAGCAAAGATTGTGGGATACATGAGCAATATTTTAAAAAGATTATATTTCTATACATGAGAATTGCAAGGTCTCAAAATTAAGTAAACAATCCCATTTGCCACAGCATCAAAAAGAATACTTAAATGAATTTAACAAAAGAAGCACAACAAAAGGAAAACTATAAATGTAAAACACTGAAAAGAGTAAAAGATATAAATACATGGAAAGACATCCCATCTTCATGGATGGAAGACAACGTTAAGAGTAATCCACAGATTCAACGCAATCCCTACCAAAATCCCAGCTACACCTTTTGCAGTAATATAAAAGTCGATCCCAAAATTGATATGGAAACACATGGGACCCAGAAAAACTAAAACAATCTTGAAGAAGAACAAAGTTGGAGCATTCACCATTTCCAGATTCAAAATCGACTTCAAAGCTAAGTCTGCAATCAAGACAAATTGATACTGGCCTGAGGATAGAGCTATCAATGGAAGAGAAGTGACAGTCTAGAAATAAACTCCTACATTTATGGTCAGCTGATTTTCAATAGGGGCACTAAGACAATTCAATCTGCAAAGCGTGCTAGGACAACCAGCTATCAACATGCGGAAGAATAAACTTGGACCCTGCCTCGCATCATATGTAAAAGTCATTTGGATAAAAGACCTAAATGTAAGAGCTAAAGCCATAGAAGGCTTTGATAAAAACACAGGTGTAAATCTTCATGATCTTGGCTTAGGCTGTGGTTTCATACATAGAACACCAAAAACACAGGCAACAAAAGAAAACTAGTATTTCACCAGAATTAAAATAATTTTTGCCTCAAAGGACACCAGCAAGAAAGTGTAAAGACAATGCACGGAATGGGAGAAAATATTTGTGTACTATTTATCTATACAATGGACTTGTATCCAGGATCAGCTGCAAAAAGATAAGTAATCCTATTTAAAAAATGTGCAAAGGATCTGAAAAGTTATTTCCCCAAAGAAGATACACAGGTGGCCAATACATGAAAAGATGCTCAACATTAGTCATCATTAGGGATTATGTATATATTTTGTAATACATATATATATATATATATATACACACACACATATATGCATATATACATATATAATATATATATGTAGCCAGTGTTGATGAGATTATATGGACAATGGAACTCTCATATATTCCTGGTGGGAATGTAAAATGGTATAGCCACTTTGGAAGATAGTATGGCAGTTCTTCAAAATGTTAAACATAGAGTTACCATATGACCTAGCTATTCTACTCCTAAGTATATATCCAAGAGAATTGAAAATATATGTCTGCACAAATGTTCATAGCAGCATTATTCATAATAGCCAAAAAGTAGAAACAACCCAAGTGTCCATCAAATGACAAATGAATAAACACAATGTGGCATATCCATACCACAGAGTATTTTTCAGCCATAAAAAGGAATGGAGTGCCGATAGAAGCTACGAGATGGATGAATCTTGAAAACGTCATGCTAAGTGGAAGAAACCAGACACAAAAGGCCACAGAGTCTAGGATTCCATTTACATCCAATGCCCGGAATTGGCAACTACACAGAAACAGAAAGTAGGTGTTTTTGTCGGGGTGGGGGGAAAGGAGGAGTTGGGAATGACTGCTAATGGGTATGGGGTTTTTTGTTGGGGTGCTGAAAGTGTTCTAACATTAGTGCTGATGACTGTACAACTGTGAATATACTAAAAACCACTGAAATTCAGTTTATATTTAAATTCCCATTTAAATATAAGTTAACTTTAAATGGGTGAATTTCATATGGTATGTGATTTTTATCTCGCTAAAGCATTATAAAAAGCTTTATCTACAGTAGTGTTCAAATTTAAATGGTTCAATTTAATGCACTATAAAAGCCTATGGAATGTGTTCCTTACCATAGTGTATGTTAGCCATAAACATGCGTGTCCCTGACCTTAATAGCAAAGGATGTATTATCTGCCAGTGACCCAAACCCCACTATCAGAAGTAGCATTAGAGCCACAGAAGTAGCCTGTGCTCCTAGCGTATTCCATAAGGCTCTGTAAGACGGATCGTTTGTGTCCCTAACCACCAGAGTACTCTTGACCTTGGAAATACGGTATAGAGAACTGAGCACATGGGCCACAAGGAATGGTGACTCTATCACTTGCGGTGTAGACCAACTACCTAGTCTTAGACAACTTTGGCATTCACTTATGTGATTCAATTTTCAGTATTCCTATTTGTATTTAAAACCCTGGCTCCTCGCCACTTAAAAGCAGTGTCAGGATAGCCACAGGACATTCAAACTTTGGTTCCCAGCATCAGGTGTGCAATCACTTCATGTGAGAACAGTGAGGCAAGGAACATTTTTTTCAATCACCTTACTCACAAGCTGAGATCTGCCGGCTTAAGGAAAGACTCAGGGGGCAGTCAATGTCCCCACTTCTTCCTAGACACGGTTGAAGATGGGCTAATGAGAGGTTAACTTGAGAGTGTAATTCTCTCTTGGCATCCTGATTCTGATTGCTTGGCTTTAGGCTTCTACCCAGCATGAAGATTTAATTTCCTCACAGCTGAAGATAGTTTCAAGTTTATTACTTACATGCTAAAATGTTGATGTATCTGTTTTTGTGCTTGTTATCTGGATGATTGGAATGTTCTGCAGTGATGTTCATATCGGCCGTACAGCGTTGGACTTCCTAGTGAAAAAAACATCAAGATTTCAAAGATTTTAGACGCACTTTAGATGTCTAGCAAGGGTATAGGAAGAAAAGAACTATATACCCCAAAGCATGAAGTATTTACTCACTCCCTAGGATAGCTGCCATTACCTCCCCAAACTCAGCTTCAGAAATAATTGATGTATTCATAACAAACGTACAAAGGATGTGAAGAAGATAAAAGGATTTCATGTTTTACTAATTCATCAATCATCTACTTCATTCCAAACTGGTGACCTAGGCATGGGGGATTACAAAACACGATCTCTTCTTGAGTATGTCCCAGTCTGATGGGGGAGGAACACACACAAAAGGATAAAGACAGTCAAATGTGATTCACAGAAAAGAGGCCTGAAGATACTGTTGCAGGAGCACAAAGAAAGGCTCCTGGCAGATCATTTACCTCAGTCTTAGAGGATGAACAACAATTTCCCAGTCAGAGGTACAATCTCCACCATCATTTGCAAAATGCTTACAGGCCACATAGCTTGTTTTATAACTGCCTGAGTGCAAATTGATTATATTCCGTCATGAAGTGACACTATTTATATTAGCCTGGTGACCTGTCCTTATGTGGCTCAAACAGATCCAGATTTGCTGAATTATTTGTGAACTCTTAGTTTCATTTACATTATCCTTCTTTACAAAAGCAACAGTGGAAGAGGGACCTCTTCAAGACCTTAGCCACGTATGGTAAACATCATCCATTAGCCTCCTGCACGATGGCTGTAAAGTCAACGTTTTCTACAGTGTACGGTTCAAACCCAAGAAAGTACTGGGGCTAACTAATAAGGGAAGTCATTAGCAGCGCACAGCTGTTGCAAAGAGCAGGAGCAAGTGACAGAAAATTATCAGGAGAAATGTTTTACACGTGACAGATGTAACAGAGTTTAGGAGCGTGCAGACTTTTTTTTTTTTTTCCATGAAGGAGATGCATAGCAATTATCGATGTTTTCCATAGCATTTACATGAGGCATAATGAAAACAAGGAACTGGTTGTCTTTTAGATTCACAAAGTACTTCCCAGTGAGGAGTCCCTCTCTTCTTTCCAAGGAGGAACTAACTCACTCTAATCCAAGAATTTAAAGTCTAAAAACAGTGGGGTCATTATCTATTCAAAGAGACCATACTCATGAACTCCTGATTCTTGGCAGATGGACATTCAAATTTTTTTTTTAATTGTAGACCTGCCCTGTTGTCCATTAAGAAAAAAAAAAAGCCCAGAGGCACTAATGCCACACGCTTCTCTGGCGAAAGCGTGTTTCACAGCAGTTCTTACCCTTTCCTTACTCTTCCTAAACGTGATAAACTCCGCTATTTTCTATTCTAAAATGGTGTATGATCTGTGGTTTTGCAAATGCTGGTTTAAAGGGACTCCAGGCTTTGGTACTTTTCTCTAAAATGAGAAAAAATATAGGCCCAAAGCGATGAGTCTGAGATCTTAAACATCTACAAACACTTAAGCAGTGCTACCCATACTCAAAGTATTGGGGATACTGGCCGCTTAGAATTGCCCTGAAAGCCTGAGGTCTATTCTTCAGTAGTTCCAGGGACAGAATGCCTTTGAAGATGGATTTGTATTCTGGAAGACATTAGTTCAATCTATACGGAAATCCCTGAAATAAGTTGACATCCCTGTTTCTGGGTTTTGAAGGTCATACTTTTGGCACGGGCTGGGTTGCTAAAACATCTTGTGATAAGAGATTACAGCATTAATTCACTTTGAGATTCACTCGGTTTATTGCTTTTTGTCTCTCAGTGTGTGGATCTGACCACCCTAGTGTGGTCCTCTATTATAACATAATGCAATTGACCACGACTGCTTGGAAGCATCTGTCTGCATTGTTTAAAGCAGTCATTCGATATCGCCAATGAAACTCTCGGTTATCTAAAACCCCTGGTCTGATCCATTGCCTCTATTTCACTTTTCCAATTATGTGAATGACAGAAAACAAAGAATAGTCATAAATAATGTTAAATCTGATTTTATTAGAACCCGAGGGGTGTGCCTAAGGCCTTCTGATTTTGTCTTGTGGATAATAACGCCATCTGTAATTCCTTGCAGAACTGTGTGGCTCATTTAGATGCTGATACTATGATCTGATCCTGGAGTGGCTTTTCCCCATCAGAACTGGAATTCCAAAGTTAATGTGATTTTAATAGGTGTTAAAACCCTTTGAAGAGACACTGGCTGACGGAGTGTGTATAGCAAAGTTACCTATTGGGCACTCTGATATATAGTTTTAAGATTTAAGCTTATTTGCATTTTCCTGTCCATGTAACAGAGTTGAAATTCTCAAAATGAATATTCTGAGTATCGACAGGCACACCACCACAGAAGAAAGCCGAGTAAAAACAAGAGACTTAAAAATAAAGTAAAACTGAAACAAAACGCCCCAAGTTGACATATCCAGAATTCTTGACAGACAGAACAGGGGAAATCTCCTGCTGCCTGGAGTCAGTGATGTGAGAAGCTACTGAAAAGGCACATGGAGACCTACTGCCCTACCATTCTATGGCTCAATTTGAAACTGACAGAATAAAAATCCATCTGGAAATCTTCCAGATTATTCAGCTTCACAAAGAAAGCCGAGAAGAACACATTTTGGACCAGGTGACCAAGTGTGAGGCCCGAGTATACAGAACATTCTTGGTGTGGGAGTTCAGACAGCCTACAGTTGTATTAGGGACAGGGGCCACGGAAGACTGATTACTTTAGGTCATTGCTACAGTCTGGTGCTTGCCTAGTGTCCGGCACAGAGCTGGCCCTCGTTGGATACCGGTGACATGCCATCTTCCTGCCTCTCAGGCTACAAAAAGCTGCCATGCCAAATTTCTTCCTGTGCTGCCTGGACTTTGTTATTCTCTTACTCGGAAATCTCTGGATAGATCCCGGATTCCTTAGCCAGGCTTTCACGATCCCAGCCCAGATCTGCCATCTTCCACCAGCTCCCTTCTCCTTCCGGACAGTTTTACCTCTGTGCCCTTTGACAAGACCGTAGGATCTCCTGCTCTTTGCTTCACTGCCATCTGCCTTGGCAAGAATGCCTGTCCTGCTCACCCCTGGTCTGAATCCATCTGTCTTTATATACAGTGACTGCCTAACCCTTCCAGAAAAACCACCCATTTTTATCACAGCACCTATTATCCTGCAGATCTATAAAATAAAATGACCTTGTGCACACTATTTGTGAATTGGGCTAATTCCCTCTCTCCTCACCCTTCACAAAAACCTCAACGCAACTATGGTTTTCTTCTTGCTAAGGGTTTAGAAATGTTTTAAAGACCTTTCAGACCTTAAGTGGCGTTCTGTCACAGGCTTCTGCCATTTTGCAGGCCGCAGCCTCATGGAGCATCCACCCCTCTATCTGGCGATGCCCTCTTACGTGTCACTGGCAACATCGGAACGCTGCATCTTACATAAAGTGATTGTGGCCACTGATCCCTCGAGTGCACGGGCTCAGGTGGACAAAGCTTTGTTCTCCTGATTTAAGATGAGCAACCCGCCCAAATTTAGCTCAGCCGGAGTTCATGGTAATAGAGGTAATTCCCCCAAAGGATCTTGTCAAGGGGTATTGGACCTCTGGCCTCATCTCTGCACTCAGCCTTTCCCTCGTGATGCTCCCGACCCCTGCCTATTAATTCTGTCAACCCACACAGCCTCAGAGCTCACTCCGTTTGAAAGATAATGCTAGCACTGCGCCTTTGGAAGCCTCCTGGATTAGGACTGTGGAGGCTGGGGAAGAGTGAGGTTGAAGTCAACGCAGGTAGCCAAGGGAACAGAGGCATCGAACGCCATCCTGAGAGAAGGATTGATGTTATTTCCAGTGACTGCAAAATCTGCTAGAGGTATAATGTTGCCAGCTTTTAACAGTCTCCAAAATTTATCTGACAAGGACAAAATGCTTGCTGCATCACCTCTAGACAAAGACTCAAAATTACCGGGGAATTGTTTTTCTCATTCTCCTCCAAGCAGCAAAATTCTGAAAAAAGGACAGCTATTCACCATTTTTTTTTTTTCATTTCCGTCCAAGATTTTTAAACAAGATGGGGCAAATAGAAATTCTGGTGAAATAATAAAAAAATTCATGGAAGCTTTTCTTCTTCTTTGCCCTCTTCCATCCAGAACTTTGTCAGTATTATCACTTATTTTGCTTTGCCCACCCTGGTCTCCACTGCCACCAGGAGGTGAAACTCCTAGAGGGCAAGGTCTCAAATTTACCTCTGTGCTTTATGTTATGTCCACAGAATAAAAGGTTGTCATGAATTAACTGTCAGATGAATTGTTTGCTCTCTTAATAGCCACACATCAATTGTTAAGTGGTATTTATAATTTTCAGGTTAGTTCTTTGACTAACTTTAGGCCTCTATTCAGATGCTGTATAAAATTTTCTAAGTCAGATTCTCAGCTATCTGGTAGGCTCTGGACCATAAAGACCATGTAATGGGCTCCCAGTATTTTTAATGGGGGGATTCCTTATTTTGGTGGTTTCCTCTCCTGCCTTCCCCTGCCCCCCCCCCTTTTTTTTTTTTCTGCCAAGACAATTGTTGGCTTATCAGCTGCATGATCAGTTTTAGACAGTCACTGGTAGTCTTGATTTTTTCTCCTTCTGACTCCAGGTCACCATAGGATACTACTTAATGAGTCTGGAGAGCATTGAGGTAAAACATGTGGGCTTGAGTCACATATCCTGGTCCTAAAACCTAACTTCTGCCATTTCACATCTGAGCCACTCAAAGCCTCAGTTTTCCTATGGGTAAAGTTTCCTCATTTGTAAAATGGGGACAATAGAATAGTACCTCTACGAGGGGCAGTTCTGAGAAACGAGTGAAATAATCCAAGTGCAGTGCTAAGAAAATGCCGGCCACCGTTATTCCACTTAAAAAGATGTGGAAATCTGGGGTTGACTTTTTTAGTCTCCTATCATAATGAGGGTGCTGTTTTGGCTTTTTAAAAAGATTTATTTTTAATGTTTACTCATCTTTGAGAGAGAGAGAAAGACAGAGCATCAGTGGGGGAGGGGCAGAGAGAGAGGGAGACAGAACCTGAAGCAGGCTCCGAGCTGTCAGCACAGACCCGATGCGGGGCCTGAACTCATGAACTGTGAGATCATGACCTAAGTCGAGGCTTAACTGACTGAGCCGCCCAGGTGCCCCAGGATTTTTTTTTTTTTTAAGTAATCTTTTTTTAAATTAAATTAAAGTAATTTTTAAATTAAAAATTAAAGTAATTTTTTAAGTAATGGGTGTAGACCCATTGTGCAGCTCAAACCTACAAGATCAAGAGTCATATACTCTCCACTGACAGAGCCAGCCAGGTGCCCCAGTTGTTTTGTTTTTTTTTTTTTTTTTAATTGCACAAAATCTCTTTTCCTGACCTTCTTTTACAGTCTTTTACTATCTCACTTGTAAAACAGCCTTAATAATTTCTTAAATAGCCTGTTACCAGTTGTCCTTTTTAGCAGAGCAGCCAAAAAGGACTACCACTGTTCTAAAATAGTTCAAAATCTCCCTCAATTCGAAGAGGACGGTAGATTAACAAGTTTTCCTGTCTCATTCCTCCCATTATGTCGCTGCCTTATTGTTCTTTTCAGAAGAAAGGATAATCTTCCTATTCTGAATAGCCCTGATTTTAAACCATTCGAACCAGGAGGGATTGTGAAGGGACAAGGGCAGAACAATGCCTCCCCTGTCCCTGCCCTTTTGGGCCCCTCCCTTAACCACCAGCTAATAAGATTTAAGCTATAAAGTTCAATACAGGAGACAAAAGCTTCCAGCCAGAGTGGATTTTTTTGTTTTGTTTTGTTTTAGGACAGAAATAGGGTGCAGATGCCCAGAATTTGTTAACAGGCTTGACTGTGATGCAGCAAAGCCCATTTTAAGTCAGATCAAGTTTATAGAGGTGTAGCTGATTATTTTGAATAATTAAATGGTGTCAAAACCAGCTGTGATGAATAGCACTGGGGGTCTCAAATCATAAATAATTGAGAAACTGGAGTTGCATTTGGTCATCCTGATCAAATTCTGTTCTCCAGAGGATAAATGTTTGTCCTGAATACCATCAACATTGTTAAATGCCTCAATATTCTTGCTCAGTCATCCAGCCAACAGTCAATTGAACTAAATCACTTCAACAGCACACACATTTGCTGTCCTCATGAATACAAAATGTTTGACTTTAAACCATGTTCTCTGTAGTTGAATAGGCACCTTTTTTGGTAAGCATCTAACAGCCGCATTAAGTACTCGACATATTTTTGTCTGTTCCATGATACACAGGACTTTGACGAATAAATCAGAGGGTCCCTTCTCTCTACTACCTTTGCTTCGGTTTTGCTCAGAAAAACACAACACAACAAAACAAAAAACCAAGAGAAATAGTTGTCAGTATAACTGCCTTTATGATGGCCTCTGGGGACTCTGGCCTTGCACGGAGACAGGGGCTTTGGGTCCTGTGTTTATTTCTCATTGTGCGTCCTTTCCATCACATCATTTAATCCCCATCACCCATTTTGGGAAAAGAGATGGGCCGTAAAGCATCATCATCATCGTTTCCGTTTTAAAGGAAGAATGAGACAGAGAAAGGAACCGACTCACCCACAAAGCTAGAAGACAGCTGAGCTGCCACGAAAACTTGGCCCCCTTGGCACAACTCTTGCTGCCAGAGATGTGCCTTAGTTAAGCGCCTCGGTGAAGAAAAGGGCAGTCTGTTTAATAGCTCCTCATTGACGCCCTGTCACTGCTGAACTGGCACGGAACCCGGAGCTGGCAGGGCGGTGCGCGCCGCGCTCTACCTTGCTCCCCGCACAACAGTTCTTAGAATCACAAGGGCTGCGTTAACCCGTGTCTTCTCTCCAGGGAGTGACAGTCGCGAGAACGACAACCATCAACCTCCGCACGGGCTTCACGGTTCACCCGGCGCTTTCACAGACGTTCAGCATTCACCTCTTTCCACCGTGGGGCCGTCCTAGACGCGAGCGCCACTGTTAAAAGCGAGGGACCCAGGGAATCGGAGAGGAGGTGATTGGCCCGAGGATGAGGAAGCACCCTACCTACCGTGCAGTCGGCCCCCTCAACACCTCGTGCACCCAGAGACACGGACCCTACCCTCGGCGTGAGGACTACTGGCCCGCTCAGGATTAAGATGAAGACAGGACCGGGGGGGGCGCTTGCCTCCTCTCTACCCCCGAGTCCGCTCTTCCGTAGAAACGCACGTTCAGGACATGGGTGACCAACTCCCTCTCGCCTAATGTTTACTGGGATGAGAGTGCTTGTCACAGTTGTAAGCGTGACGCAGAAAAGCAGCAGCAGCAGCAGAAAACCGGTCTCCACTTTCCCCACTATTGTTTTGTTATGCCAGAATGAACTCAGCTCGAGTTTCTAACAAGCCTCACACAGTAAGGGTTGGGTCTCCGGAAGTTACTTTTCAGTCTCGAAACCTACCTCAAAATCCTCGGAGAACCCATGCTGGTTATTAGAATACAGCTCACCGATGTGTTTAACAAACTGTTTGACAGGAATGGCTTCCATGTCATCTGTGGGGATAAAATGATATTCAGAGTCACACAGAATACACTTCAATAAAACAAGTAACACGGACAAGGGATTATTAAAGACAAACATTTGACTTTTGCAAAGAGGGCTGTAATTCGGTCACCTGAAGTAGAGGTCCTCAAGAAGAGTCTCAGGATGTATCTTACATTTCTATCTCATTATGGTTTTGAATGTCGAGAAGCAAGGTTAAATACAGGTTTGTTTCCTTTTCAAGTATGTAGGGAATTACTTTTTTTTTTTTTTAATGTTTTAGGCAATTTACATAGTTAAATGACCGCATCATACTCTCAACTGAAAGTCTGAACCTACCTAAGGTACCTCATTTGTCAAGAAATTTTATCACAACCTAAGATTTCTCAAAAATTGCTCTGCAGTGGGGTCCAGCTTGAACTTGGAGCATCTCTCAAGTCGAAGCAATCTTTATACACAATTACAGATCGATGCCATTGTACCAGCTGGCTTCGGGTACAATGCCATCTACGTTTAAATGTTCAAAATTTGAGTTCAAGACAGCTGTGTCTACACGATGCCAAATAATCAGTTTGACTGAATTAACTGGATTTTTTGGGTGTTGACAGACTAGGTAGAGATTCAGGAAGACTCCACTTTCCAATTTATTGCAACGTTGTCACTTCAGAGGGATGCTTTCGGCTATATGAGCCCAAAGTGTGTTTTAAGCTGCTTTGTCCAGATCCAGCCTGATACTTGAGTACTGGCCGTAAAACTGCCACACCCCGCTAACTGGAGCTCCCCAACCTCCTTCCCTCGACCCTCCCCCGCAAATATTTCCTTTTAAAAATACTCTGCTGAATTTGAGATAAACAACAGACATGACATTTACTTTATTCAGAGTGAAAGATCTTTGGCAAACGCACAAACATCTAAACTGCCACAGATGCTTTTCTTAGCAAAGGGTATGAAGATCTGTATGTGTAAATGAGGTCCTACTTTGGCAAGAATGTTATAGATCCAGGCCTGACAATCTGATTTCTCTTCATCTGGTGACAGTTAACATTGACTATGTCATTCCTTCTCTACTTTCTTTCGAGAGAGCAAAGCTCCAGGGTGGCTTTTTGCATCTATTGACATTTTCAAACTTGAATCATTCTTAAGTGGAAAATAGCATCTCTTATACTTTGTTTAAGGAAGGTGACTTATATGTTCATAATCCAAATTGCTTCGCATAGAAACGTTATTTATCAAATAGGTGGTGCTCTGTAAGCACAAATTCTTTCTGTGTGAACAATTAAAGACCTAATCATTTTAATAGGCCACCTTATGAAAAAAATTGCCAAGTTATTTACAAATATTTCAGGATTGAAGATGTTCATGAATATGCAATCATTTTGCACGCCCAAGAAATCTATAGCTCCCATAATGATGTAACCAGCATTAACAAAGTAAGCAGAGCCAAAACGTTTCTCCAGAATATTGAGCAGAATGCACAGTTCAAGAAAAATTTCCAAAATTATCTGACTGACTTCCCTTCAAATGTTTAGTAGGAGTAAGCAAATTCTACAATTAAGATCAAGTGGCAGAGAAATTAAGCTGAGGCTGAAGGGTTAATATGTACAAAACCGGAGTCTCAAGAAGATTAACCCAAAGACACTCACCTTTGGACAAGGGGCAAAACCAGCAACATGAGATACAACGTAACCCTGCGAACACTATAGAATGCAGCCTTCCACTTTATTTAGAAACCCAAAGACACCCCTTTCCGAGGGGGACATCATTAACAGGCATAAATAGGCTGAGGGCAACATTTATTCCATGATAGCTTAGAATTTTAGAATTCCAATAAATTTACGGTGCACAGGGACTGTAGTTTAAAGAAAGAAAAAACAACAGGTCAGCTTTAGAGCTATTTTACTCTGCAGAGTCAAAAAACAAAAAAGGGCAAAACCCACGGCATTTCAAAGGCCAAAGCCCACCTCAAGTCATTAAAAAAAAAAATGCTTTTAGGGTAACTATCATTTTTTTCTTTTCTGCCAATTGCTCAGGTATAGTATTCAAGCTAATGCCATACGTGCTCAGAAATCAGTCTGCCTGCTATCCCCCGTGGCTAGAGCAGGAGAAATCCAGCAGAGCTCAGTATGATAATCATGGAAATATATGACTCACTAGTGTCTCCAATTAGCTTCTTCATCCAAGAAGTGTAACCACACCCCTCTGCATTTCCAGGCACCACCAGTAACGTCATGAAACTACCAACAGGCACGCGCGTGCACACACACACCCACACACGCTCAGCACGGACCACCACCAGCTACCCAGGTAACATGGTATTTGTCTTTCAATCAAGGTACATGAAGCTGAAGGGTCATAAATCTTTTTTTGTCAATATTACGATGAATATAAGGCTATGACTAATTCAAAGTCCTAATAGTTTTCCTCTTAAATTTCTCTCAGCAAGAACCAGATAATTAGAAAATTACCGTAACTAGCAGAAGGCCAAGCAATTAGGACAGCAGCATAGACCTGATCTCAGCTTTTATCTGGAAAAACCCTGTGGTGTTAGAGGTCATCCATATGAAAGATGCTTTTTCACCGAAGTATGTTCCGTTGCTGAACGCAGAGGACATTAGCAGCACTAACTATGGACGAGGCACTTCTCTATGCCCTTTAGGTGCATTAACATGTACTCAAATCCTCTCAACAACCCTGGGAGATAGAGGCTATTTTCCTACTCATCTCACAGTTGGGAAAATAAGCTCAGAAAGATTAACTAAAAGCTGGACCATGGCAGGGGAAGCGGGTCGCGGATCCAAGGTCAAGAGAGAATGGCTGCTGTCTGTGTATATGGGCCGAGTGAATGGGAAACCACTGGAGGAGGCATTTCCTGAGCACCCAGGACGCATCCGGACATTAGGGAGATGGTCTCTGCCCAAGGGCACATTTGTGTTGGAGAAGCAATGAACGTAAGCAGGTGCGGGCAAGAACAGCATGTAATTACATGGTGAAGACTCCAAGTGCCATAAAAGGGAGGGGTTTGATGACTCAGGCAAAAATAAAGGTTACCGACGTAGTGCTGATAAAGAAAACTATGAGCTGGCATCAAAGGGAAGAGGTTTGACCTCCAGGTTAGATGGGAGATTGTTAGGATATATAATGAAACGGTCTCAAGATAGAGTGGGTATAATGAGAACAGAATCACCGTTTATTAAGCCCTAGACTGGTTACCAGGGACTGTGCTAAACGCTTTCGGTACATTTATCTTTACCAGAACTACGTGAAGGGGGCATTGTTATCCTCATGTTACACAGGAGGTAACGGAAGCAACATGTCCAAAGCGACCGATAACTCAGTAGGCAGAGCTGAGATCTGAACCCTGGTGCAATGAATGCAAAGCTCTTTCTCCTACGTGCTGTGATACATAACTTGTCTACATTCTCCGATTTCAAGGAAGAACAAGGAGTTAAACCGAGTATCTTGGTTTAATTAGAGTCCCTTGGATAAAATGTTATGTTTAAATTTTGTGCCAGCGTTTTTTGTTTCAAGTTTTTAAGTTCCAGTTAGTTAACATATAGGGTGATATTGGCCTCAGGAGGAGAATTTAGTGATTCATCACTCACCTGTAACACGCAAGTGCCCTCCTTAATATCCATCATACACCTAGCTCAGGCCTTGCCCACCTCCCTCCGTCAACCTTCGGTTTGTTCTCTATAGTTAACAGTCTGTTGGGGCACCTGGGTGGCTTAGTTGGTTAAGCATCTCTTGATTTTGGTTCAGGTTCTCATGGTTTGTGAGATCAAGCCCCGTGTGGACTTTGCCCTGACAGCAAAGAGCCTGCTTGGGATTCTCCCTCTCTCTCCTTCTCTCCAAAGAAATAAACTTAAAAAAAAAAAAAAAAAAAAAGTCTCTTGTGGTTTGCTTCCCTTTTTTCCCCTTCTCCTATTTACTTATAGAATTTTCATATAGCGAAGATTTAAATTCAGCAAAAATGAGAGTACTGCTTTTATCATTAAATCATCCTGTTATAAAGTGCTTGGTATAGTCAGCTGAGAATCAGCACCTTAAGGGTGAGATTGTTATGCGATATTACTATTTATACTTTGTTCCAAGATTTCGGCCTTTGGTGGCTGGAATTAAACTTCATATACAAGAGACCTTTTATTTTCGGCAGTCCACAACGAAACATCCTCATGTACCACTTCTGAGGAAGCCTGGAATTGGTCTCTGGTTTGTAGGTACCCAAAGCAGAGCGTTGGAAGACTCAAGACTGTTGACCTTGAATACAACACTGTAAGGAACAAAGAACACACGGAACACAGAGAGAGGCTACTTCCAAATCTAGTTATGTCTCTGTTGTACTTGCATCTTTGGAGCCATTAGTGGGAAATCACCCATACATTGGTGTATGGTTCTAAGCTACTTTCATAATCTTACTTTGCCTTCTCTTATTCTTCAGGAGTAACAGATAAACAAAAGGGGAAAAACTTCACTTTCTTGTCTGTCTTCGCACAAGTAAGTAAATCATTTTGAAAAAAGAAAGAAAGTCAGTAGCCAAGGCCGTTCTTGAACCGAACATCAGCCACAGGGAGGTGCTGCAGACAGGGCTCAGCCTGTCAGGCAGCTCTGTGGCAGGGTATTTAGCCTGTAACTCGGTAAGATTGTGTAGCGTCCTTCTTCTCGGTTACTGATGATGGAAAGCATTCTGTGTGTATCAGGCACCTCGGGGAAATGGTGGCCAGAGCAAGATGGCCTGGTGGTGGGACTTCAAACTCTCTGCGGTTCTTTTTCCTCATCTGTGAAATGCGAATAACTACCTAACTCATAGTGTTACAAAAAGCAGATGAGTGCTTGGCATTTACTAAATGCTTTGTAACTCATTTATTGTCGGGTGCTAATTGCTTTATATGCACAGCCCTATAATTTCGGGGGGTGATTACCCATTTTATAGACAGGCAAACTGACTACAAGAGACCAAAGAGCTTGGCCAATGTCCACTGTCATTATCAACTGGTGGGGCCCAGGCCAACTC